GTTCGACACAGTGTAATAAAAATTATAATATAGAAAAAAGTTAATACAATTTGGAGTTGATTCTTTGCTAATTATTCATCAATAAAATCTCCAGTGGCAGTGACAATTATTGTTTTTAATACACATTTCTTATCAGGGAAAACAAAAAAAGAAATCAATGTACACATGCACACGCACACACACACACACACACACACACACTTTGTTATTTCAAATGATTTTCAGCACTGTGCATGTTACAGCTGCATAAAAACCTGCAAGGATGTTGGTAGAATCTGGCTGCATCTGGGTTCATCAGGTCAATGCACACAGTGTGTCTTTTCATGAATGCACTGGGAAGCTACAAGCCTGCTTTTTTACCAAAAGATTGTTGTTGGGTGCAAGAGGTAAATAAAGTAGTAAGTTTGATTTGTGTGCCAAGGGTAAGCCAGTTTGCACGTGGCTGGGTTACTCCCCATGGATGGTGTTCTTTTGTAGGAATTTAAGGAAATTCCTATGAGAATTTTTTTTTTTTTAAAAACCAGCTCAGCAGACATACAAGTTATGGCCCCCACAATTGGTTAATTTGAAAAGAAGGGGATATATACTTGAACATCAGGTATTTTACGAGGTCTGTCATCTTCAACACTATTTATTATTCCCAGTAGATGTTTTAACTTGAAAGGGAGCTGTTTAGTGATTTTTTTTTTCTTCTAGGTTAACCTGATGTTAAATGGAAAACCAGTAATATCTGCCTTTGCTGGGGACAAAGATGTTACTCGTGAAGCTGCCACTAATGGAGTCCTACTCTACCTAGATAAAGAGGATAAAGTTTACCTAAAACTGGAGAAAGGTAATTTGGTTGGAGGCTGGCAGTATTCCACGTTCTCTGGCTTTCTGGTGTTCCCTCTATAGAATTTGATTTCTCCGTGATGTTTATCCAGGTGAGGGGTGGCCCGCCCCTGAGTTATTGGAAGAACATTTTTTTCATCATTGGATTGATGTCTTTTATTGGTTTCTCATGGGTGAATATGGATTCTCTTTAAGGATTCTAGACCTGTCTGAACCAATGCAGAGTTTCACAGATTATTTGTGTGTGTGCGTGTTTCAGTATATTTGGATTGGGACTCAAAGCAGATAATACCTATCTATGCTTAAATGTAACAGTCAAAAAGCTGTCTGCAAGGTTCACTCTTACTTTAATTTCCTGGGATTACTGAATTTTTTGCAGATGTGGAATTTTATTTGTTTATTTTTAAAAGACTGGCAACCGGGTCTAAGAATTAGAAAACTCTCAAGTTCTGACTTCAATCAACGGTTAGTGTGATACTGCCAAAGAACTGTATACTGTGTGGATATATCGACTACACTTGTTTTTATTCCTTTGAAATTAGTTCGTTTTGTTCTCTTAAGGTAACTGGGAATTGTTTTTCAGTGACTGGCATTGTGTTTTCTCTACAAATAAGGTAATGAATGGCTTGCCCGCAAATTTACCTTGACTATGATGAGATCATCAACATGATTTCCCTCAAAAAAAATAAAACCCTTCATAGTTGTATTTTAATTATATATGTGAAAGAGTCGTATTTTCCAAATGATATTTTCTAATAGGAAAAATAAATCATAAATCTGACAAAGAAAAAGTTGCTCAATCCCCAAACCTTGGCAAAACAGCCCTCCTCTGAGGGAAATCTTATACTTTATTGCTCAACTTTAATTAACATGATTGATAATAACCACTTTATTAAAAACCTAAGGGATTTTTTTTTTCCTTAGACATGACCACTTTATTAACTGGTGGTAGGATGCTGTTGTTTTTAATTATACCTATTTTTCAAACCTTATGTTGTATTTGAAGTATCATCTGGTTTTGCCTTAACTCCTTAAATTGTATATATTTATCTGTTTAGCTAATATTAAATTCAAATATCCCATATCTAAATTAGTGCAATATCTTACTTTGTCTTTTGTATAGATCATATGAATTCATAAAATTATTTATGTCTCTGTTATAGAATAAAGGTTAATATATGTTAGTTGAATTGTTTTTTCCTTTTGGTTTTGGAAATATATATTCTACATGATTTATTTCCTCTTCCTTCTCCTCTTCCTTTTCTTCCTTCCCTCCCTCCCTGTCTTCTTCTCTTCCTTCCTTCCTCTCGTTTCATTTTTTCTGGAGTTTAAGAAAAGTTTTCTGAATTTTCAGGTAATGTCCTCAGAATCAGTATAGGAAATCTTTACTGGGTTTAATCTGTCCAAATTCAGGAGTTGCAAGCTTGCCAAGAGAGAATCAATGAACTTAGTAAACTCTTCTTTCAGAAGGACTTATTGTTAGGAAGTTAAGTTTAAAAAGATCTCCCAGAATATCGCGAGGGTGCTCAATGTGTGAATGAGTGATGGGGAGCATAAAGACCAATATTTCCAAACTGAAGACTTTGGGGAAAAGTTCTGCCCTTTCCTCGACACGAAAAGACAGAAGATCACAGGCTTGTTTTTAAAGGAGAAATTGTTATTACACCTGCCTTGTCTGGAGATTTGGCTCAATTTGCTGGTTTATAGTCAATTAAGCAATTTTTGGGGGGGGGCTGGTTTGTAGCTAGTGGCAGCGAGGAAGGTGTTACAGGGAGACACATGTGGGCACATCTTCCAGTATAATTGTGATTAATCACCAAGTCAAAATATTCATTCATCGGCAGGAAGACTCTCCTCCTTTCCCAAACAGAATGATCTGGAGATATTGGCAATGGATCCTCAGTGTTTTGCTTAGAAAGTTACCCCCCAGCTGGCTTTCTGTCAAAATCCCTTCCTCCTTTGTGATTTTGAAATATGAAAAAGTATTTCACAGAGAGACTAAATAAAGGAGGCTTTCAGCTAAATGTGAGTGGAATCCTCTGTAAACACACCAGCTCTATCACAGGCTTTCACCTGGTTCTCTGGAGTCAGAGTTTGTCTCTACATCGCAACAGGGGGAATCATACTTTAATAAAAACAATTGGCCCTTCATATACACAGGTTTCACATCTGTGGATTCAAATGAGGATCGAAAATATCCAGAAAAAAAAAAACAATAAAAATAACAATGCAGCAATAAAAAATAATACAGATGAAGAAACAATGCACGATAACAACTATTTACATAGGATGTACATTGTAATAGGCATTATAAATAATCTGGAGATAATTTAAAGGATACAGGAAGATGTGCATGTGTTATATGCAAATACTATGCCATTTTATATAAGGGACTTAAGCATCTACAGATATTGGTATCCACAAGGGGTTTTGGAACCAATCCAAAGGGACAACTATGTAATGTTTGTTCTCATTTTGGCAAAATGGCTCAAGAGTACTGGAATTACCAATAGACACCTATGATGGAGCAGAGAAAACTAGGTGGTTACCAAAATAGATCAATGCAGAAATGTTTTTTATAAACATACTTTGGGGCCTGCCTTATTTTTCTTGATTTTTCTGAACATAAGAGAATGCTGGCAAATGGCTTGACTTTAATTCTTAAGCTCTAGTGTACATGACGTGAAATGAAAAATCCACTTGGAACTTTCAAGAGAAAGTCTATTTGAAAGGCATTGCTACAAGTAACACTGCAATTTTATGACTTTATTTAAATTTAAATTAAATAATTTCAACATTTGTCACACACACACAAAAAAAGGCACTGAGGCTGTGGTTTTCAAATGTGGGAGGGAGGGTGCCTGCAACAGTGGATCCCAAGTGGAGGGATGAAGTCGGAGTGAGAGCCTTAGATTATAAAGCTGTCCGTGTAGCAAAAACATTTGTACTCCCTTAATATTTTGAAATTGAAAAAAAAAATGAGAGCCTCAGACATTCATCCTAAGCTGGTTCTTGAAAGTAAGAGCCACTCCCAAACATAGTGACTGGGAAGATAAGATTGAAGGGAGAGAACAAAAGCTACAAGGGACAGAATGACTGAGCCAGAAAAGTGTGGGTTTTGGACAGACGTTGGACAGAATCCTACAACCTTCATTTGCCAGCTCCGTGACCTTGGGCAGATTTATTCACCTCTTGGCGCTTTAGTTATTTTATTTGGAAATAATAAATAGTTGGTTGTGACCATTAAATAAGACAGGTGAAGTGCACATAGTAGGAGCTCAACAAAGGACGTACTATGATTACTAAAATTTAAATCCTCTGACAGGGGGGTGAAGCAGCCAGTGGAGGTGCAGGAAGATACTAAGATTGGCATGAGGAAGGGAAGAAAATTGAGCCTGAGTGCTACAGTCTGAAGAGCAGGAGGCAGTGGGGTCAGAAGGATTTCCAGAAATGGAGCCAGATGCTCCCTGCATATTCTATGGCTTCAAAATAGTTTTCAGAAACTGCTAGGTCCACAAAAATGCTAATTGAACACGGTATTTGCATCGGCCCTGTCTGCATTCATCAATGCCAGCACCAGCCCTTCCTAGATGGTCCCTACCTCCTTTGACTATTCAATGATCTATTGATCAACAAATGCAAGCAATTGCCTGCAGCAAGCAGTTTCCTCTAGACAGAAGCTCATGAAAACAAAACTGAAGGAAATAAAGAGCTTGTACATAGGAGCTCACTGATTCCAATTGCTTTTGAGAGTTCTGTTAGACCCCGATTATCTAATTAAATTTTTGCTTTAATTTTTTTCTTCTTTTTAATTTTTTTTTTTAACTTCAGGTTGTTTTCCCCTTTCTGGTTTCTGGCAACTTGGATAGCTGCATGTTTTCTTTTAGCTTCTACTTTTTTAGCAAGTTATTGCTTTAAATCTTGAAACAAGCATCTTCCACTAACATCTATTAGATTATCCTTATAATGTGCCATGCACTTTGCAAGGTACTGAGTTTATGGAAGAGGTAACATCTCCCTTTTTCAGCTCTCCCTAAATATCAAGCAAAGCTTGAATCTTCGCAAGGAGCAACGGAGGCCCAAAAGTATGGCTTCACCTTGCCTTTTGACTGAGGTACTAGGCTTTATTAATCTACCTTCATGATTTAAACTACCTGTCCATTGAGTATGGCAAGGTTCCCAAATTGGTTGACCTCATGATCATGAGAAGTACTGAAAGCAGAGAAAGGTGAAGGCATGTGATAGCTGCTCATGTGCAGAACCGTGGTGCTAACAACCCCGGACTCTTGGCCTACATGCTTCCCTTTGGTAGAGAGGGGGTTGGGATTTAAGAAGGTGCCTTCTAAATAGATTGGCTATTCTCTCTCCTCTGATATAGGACTGCCTTTAATATGGATTTCAAATATCTTAGAATCAAAATGAATTTTTTTTTTTGGCCACCTCTGACCCTTCTAACAGAAAACAATTGTCAATTTGTGAATTTGGCCCCGAAGTTCTCCGATGTCAGCTTCTCAAGTTAATGTGCATAAGAATCATCTGGGCATCTTGACGAGATGCAGAACCTAATGCAGTAGGTCTGGACTGGAAGCTGAGAGCCTGCATTTCTAACAAGCTCCCGAGTGGCTGGACATCACAAGCTCAGCGAAGGGGACTTCCACCACTGTTTCTTAAAGGCTTGTTACCCAAAGTGTGGTCTGAGGACCAGTAGCAGCCACATCACCCGCGGGCTCGTTAGAAACCCCAGGCAGAGTTGAGATTCACTGAGAGCTACTGAACTGAAGTCTGCATTTTAACAACATTCTCTGCTGCCCCCTCCGATTCTCAGGCATTGTAAAGTTTATGAAGCTCTGTCTTTAGGTAAAACCCACAGACCCCCTGCATCAGAATCACCTGTGCTGGGCTTCAGGCAGGCAGCTGCAGTTTAACAAAGTCCCCAGATGATTCTTATAAGCTAAATATATGCAGATGCAGGGCGTTTTCTTTGCAGTGACCCGGGAAGGCAGAGGCTTCTACTTTCTATCCTATCTTAACCTCAGTGAGCCAAAGGCAAGTAGCCTGAGGCT